CCACCGGACCACCAGTGGGGAAGGGATGCATGTCCACACACACACACACACACACACACACACACATCCCTCATGTTCCCAACAACAAGTGGAGGTAGAAAAAGGGAGGGTCTTCCTCCTTGGCGTCTCCTTCTGCTTTCATCGAAAACAACTTGCTTTCTGTTTGTGACAGTGCTGTCCCTCTCCTCTTCCCTTCCTTTTCTCACCCATCACATGAGGAGGAGGAGGAGGAGGAGGAGGAAGGGAGGTACGGGGCAAGGAGAGGACCGAGTGTGACGGGGTGATGCCGGGGTCTTTTTGTGGCTCATGAATGGCACATTTAAGGTTTCCAGCCTTGCTCTGTGGCCCAGGCCAGCTTCACCTGTGCTCCGAGTCAATCGGCCTGTTGTCTGTCTGCCTGGAACGGCGCCCAGTTCTCCGCCAGCCAAGCGGGGGCCGCTAGGAGCTGAACAACAATAACCTCCACCTCAAAACCATCAATTAGCTCCCCCCCCCCACACACACAATGCTGTATCTATTCACTGTCTGCCAAAACTGTTCTCTGACACAATTAACAGCCGTGCTAACAGTGCTTATACCTGCTCTCTGTCACTTCACACAGGCCTGACGAGTCGAATGGCCTCCAACCTGTTAACTGGTTTTAGTGGTGCATTCCATTAAGCAGATAATGCTGTTTTTCTTTTAATTAGCAGAGCTGCCAGTCTTCAATTAAACGCACAAAAAGAAAACATAAGAGCAGTTTCACTGAGGGTTTCTAACGAGTCCTCAGCTGCTCTCACAGCTCAGACAGATTGGAGCTAAATGCTAATACCTTCACAGTCGCTGCTTTACTTTGTTGTTTGTCCGAAAAATGTCTGAAATGTTGCTAAAAGAACTGATCTGAAGCGAACAAAGAACTGTGAGGTTCTTAGCAGTGATGCAGAAGAGAAAACAGGAAATAAAAAGGAAAAAAAATAATACGGGAGACCGGGGACAGTAGCAACAAGGGACGGTTGCAACAGGTCATTTTTCTCCAAACAGAAACAGAGTGATGACACTCACACTGTACATGCTCAGTTAGATGTCCCACTTTGTAAAGAAAAAGTCAACAGATTCAAAAACTGATCCAGGATTTATTTAAAAAAAAAAAAAACAGTTTTTGAGGAACAAAGTATTTTTTT